CCACCCAGACAGGACTAGAGGTGCGGAAATCCCTGCGGGGCTGCACCAAGATCCACAGCCTCCTCGGGGTCCGGCGTGGCCGCTGGGGACACTTCCGGCGGGACGTGCTTCCAGAAGGACCTCGCGGTCCACCCAAACAGGACTAGAGGTGCGGAAATCCCTGCGGGGCTGGACCGAGATCCACACACAGCTGCTCCGTCTGACTCTCCCTGCCTGGAATGGGGACCTGCCCCCCCACTTCCACGTCGCCCCTGGATTCTCCCCAGCGAACATCTTATGTTGCCTTATTCTCTCTTCCGTGCTGTTTAGGTTGCGAGATGGGAACAGAAAACCCGAAAGCTGAGCAGGGCCTTCCGATCCCCCTACCTGGCCTGCTACTCCCTGGGCGCTGTCATTTTGCTCCTGAACGTTCTGCGCTCCCACTGGTAAGCACCCCCCGGGCTGCCTGGCCGGATCAAGTCTGTGTTCATCGTAGGCATCCGCGGTGTCCGAAGGGGTGGCCGCTGTTGCCAGTATTAGGTGGTCCAGCAAGACGCGGGGAGCCCTGGGTCTGCACCCAGGGAAGTCTGCTCTCCGAGGCTTCATGCCATGGCGAGTCCCCCTTCCCTCTCTGGGCCTTCAGACTCCTGTTGGCAGGGGAATCCTCGTGGCCCCAGGAGGGGGACTGTGCCTCGTGCTCGGGGTCCAGGCGCGGAGGAGCGGGGTGGACAAGGCCAGGTGGTCCCCAGGCTCAAGTGTGTAGACAAAACTGCTGCGGGAGTCCCCTCCGGGAAGGGCCGGGACAAGAGACAGGTGACGCTTGGGGCCTGGGCCTCACCCAGGCTTGGGCTGGTGCCAGCAGGCTGCTCAGCTCAACTCTGGACTTGACATGTTGTTACTTTCCTGCCGTCCAAGAAAGCGGAGAGAGCAGGCGAACTCCTAGATGATCAAGTGCCGCGCTTGGGCCGGCGGCGCGCACTCGTGCTCAGACGGGAGGCGCAGTGCCCTGCAGGCTGTGTGGCCCAGCCTGGCCTGGCCGTCCCTGAGCCTCGGGTCCTACCTCGGTTCTGTGGGCGGCTCGCTAGCTCGTGGACTGAAACGGCCCACGCGGTGCTTTAGAAAACAGACGAGGCACAGGAGAGTCCCCATCCCTGACTTGTCACAACGGATGAGGCGCTCTGGTGGCCCCGGCCCCCACCTGGGAGTGGTCATCGGGGAGCCAGGTGGCAGCTGGTCTCCATGTTCCCCTGTGGGCCCTGAGGTGGGCGGGTGAGGGCTGTGCTGGGTGCTCCGTCCCTCGCACGTGGGAAGCGGCCTCTGTCGATGCCAAGGGGAGGGGCGTGCATGTTGCCTGGGCCTTCACACTCTGACCCCGCGAGAGCCAGGGCCCCGGCCTTCCGTCTCTGTGCCCGGGACATCTTTGCCCTACACCCCTGCGGGCTTGGCCCTCCCGGGAGTGAGGAGAGGGAGTGTGGCCAGGAGGGGCCCCGCCAAGGCCAGCCTCCCCCATGGACATTGCTTCTTGGCCTTTCAGGCGGCCTGCCTGTTGTCTCCTTACAGTGACAGGCCCAGCCGTGTCAGTCGGCTCTGGGTCACCTCCTCCCAGGCCCCTGGCAGGGCCCCTGCCTGGACTCTCTCTCTCTCTCACCTCACCTCTGGCCGGGTCTGGCCTCTCCTCCCACGTTAGCCGTCGGCGTCCGCGGCACCTCCCAGAGCCCCCCTGACTGCACGGTGGGTGCAGAAGCCCCAGGGTGACCCCCCCACCCCCCGCCCCGCTCCAGCCCAGCTCCCGCAGAGCCCCGAGGCCATTCGTTGGTACAATATAAGACCCACGTGACAGTGAGCCCCAGGAGGGTCAGGCTTTGCCTCTCCTGTGAGCCAGTCGATCACCAGGGCCAAATGCAGACATCAGTGAGCACTCGGGCTAAATGCAGAGAGGACGGCGGTGGCTGCCCTGGATGCTGGGGGCGAGAGGGGCTGGCCCACACAGGCCTGTGCCTGTCCTGCCCACCAAGGCCCGCCGGGCCCGCCGTGGCCTCCCAGCCTCAGGGTCCTCAGCTGCTCAGCAAAAAAAGCCCCTCCTGGCAGGGCCGGCACAGGGGGGCTCTCGGCGCCGCCCTCCCTCCCTGGGCCTGGTCTGCCCCCACCCCTGGGACCTCGGTTACCCGTTTCTTGGTGTCTTCTGGGAGGCTATCTGCACTTAAGCCCCGTACACACTTGCGTCCCTTTTGTGAGCAGGGCACGGGGCGGGGCTCTCTTAGCAGAACTGGGCGGAGGCCATCTCCGAGCAGGGGACCTGGGTCCATCCCAATCTTGTCACCGTGTGGAGACTCACGTGTGCATGCACCACTCTCGTCTCCTTTTGTTTCTGGACCCTGCCACTCTTGGCCCTGACCAAAGGGCTCCTATGAAGTGGGGAGGCTGCCTCCCTCCCTTGCTCACGCACCCCGGTGATCCTTCGGTGTCCCCAGCCTGGCGGGGCACGGGCTGGACGGGGGTGGCCCGTGGGGTCCGGCCACACCTGCGATATGGTAGGAAAGAAGGAGCCGCGAGCCTCTCAGGGCCGGGACAGTGAGTTCATGTACCAGGTCGGGTTTTCAACTTGTAGGGGGCTACTCTGCCCTCCTGATCTAACCCCCCTCACCGTGCGGCTGAGAGAAACCATCCCCTCGGGTTCCCGCGTGGAGGGGTGCCGAAGCTGAGGGAAGGGACAGGGAGCCACAAGGGTGTGGAGGAAGGGACCCTCCTAGCAGCCAGGCCCTTCGTGTCTGCTCTGGCTGAGAGGCCCGCATCCCGGCTTGGCTGCTGGGCACCTTTGGGCCCCCTGTGCTGCGCACTAGCCTTCCTCCCCCACCCCGTGGGGTCCCTCCCTCAATGACTCTGAAAACTCAGCTGGCCGGGAGACCCCGCCGGCCTCCTTCCCTCTTCCCCAGCCCCCGCCCTGGCCTGCAGCCCAGCCCTGTTAGCTCCCTTCCAGCTCAACGGATTCTTTTCCCTTTGTTTTCTTCCCTAAGGAGCCTGTGCCCACACGGCCTGCAGACACTCTCCCCCTGTGGAATGAATGAATGAATGAATGAATGAATTCCTTACCCTTTCTGTTCTGTCTCCCAGCTGGGTGTTGAACTCCTCAGGGGTTGGCAGACTGTACCCCCAAGGCCCAACGCTGCTAGCCGCCTGCCTTTTTATGTCTCATGAGCTACGCTAGAATCTCGTATAAGTGGAATTACACGGTCTTTGTTCTTTTGCGTCTGGCTTATTTCATTTAGCATAATGTTGTCAGGGCTCATCCCTGTTGGAGCGCGTGTCAGAACTTGCTTCATAATGCTAAGTGAAGTAAGCTAGACAGAAGGACTAATCCTGTATGATGCCACTTATATGTGGGATCTAAAAAAAATCCAACTAATAGAAACAGAGGGTAGATATGTGGTTGCCAGGGCCTGCGGGTGGGGGGGCGGGGGGTGGTGCGGGAAACAGGGAGATGTTGGTCCAGGGGCACAAACTTCCAGTTAGAAGGTGAATAAGTTCTGGGGAATCTAATGCACAGCTTGGGGATAGTTAATCCTGTCTTGTATACTGGAAAGTTGCTGAGAGAGGAGAGCTTAGAATTTCTCACCACACGCACACACACACACACGTTGAGTGTGTGAGGTGATGCACGCTAGCCAACCTTATTGTAATCATTTTATAATATATACGTACATCAAGTCATCACCGTGTATGCCTTAAACTCACCCAGAGTTCTACGTCAATTATATCTCTATAAAATGGGTAAAAAATAAAAGCACTTTGAATTTTTTTTTGTAAAGCATGTCCTTCTGTAATTCTGCATGTAACTGGGGAACTGCCGTACTGTTTCCCACAGCCACTGTACCATTTTACCTTCCCACCCAGTGCCCGCAACCTCCTGTTTCTCCACATCCTTGCCAGGGCTTGCTGTTACTATTTTTTTTTTTTTTTTTTGGAGGGTGTGGGAGGGGCAGAGTGAGAAGGAGAGAGAGAATCCCAAGCCGGCTCCACGCTCAGCGCGGAGCTCGATGAGGGGCTCCATCCCACGGCCCTGAGTTCATGACCTGAGCCGAAATCAAGAGTCAGACCCTCAACCGACTGAGCCACCCAGGCTCATGTTATTATTTTTTGATAATGGCCATCCTCAAGGGTGTGAACTGTTTTGATTTGCATTCCCCTGAGCACTTTTTTTCATGTGCTTATTGGCCATCTATCTTCCTTTGAGAAATGTCTATTCAAGTCCTTGGCTCATTTTTCATCAGGTTGTTTGTCATCGTTGAGTTGTGCAAATGGTTACGTTTTTAAATGGTTCTGTGAGCCTCTACATGATACCCCAGGTTTTGCCTCTCAGCCTTCAAAGCTGAAAATATTTATTTTCTGGCCTTTGGAGAAATAGTTTGTCAACCCCTGGGCTAGTTGGTGACTGAGGTCCCTTCTAGCTCATCTAGATGCATAATTTTATGATCTTTCATATCGGGTGTCAGCAAACTTTTTCTGTAAGGGCCAGATAGCATTTTTGACTGTGAGGGCCACGTAATCTCTGTTGTGACTCCCAGAGACAGCACGTCAGTGTGTAAAGAAATGCGCATGCCTGAGTTCCAATGAAACGGAATTTATTAGAACAGTCGGCAGGGCCAGATCTGGCCACAGGCTGTGGTTTGCCGGCCCCTAGGCTCCATGAAAGGAAAGTCCCATGGCTGCCTTTGGATATCCAGGTCCCCCTGGTGGATGCCGTCCGGGACCCTGGGAGGGAGTGTGAGTCAGAGCAGCCTGGGGAAGGGGCAGGTGCCCCGGGCAGCCTCAGCTCTGCTCCCGACGGGCGGTCCTGGAGCAGGTGACTTGGGCTCTCTTGGTCTCCTGCCTGAAATGGAGCAGGGGTCCCTGGTCCTCTCCCAGAAGGGGTCGTCCATCCTCAACTGACCAGCTCCTCACCGAGTGTGTGGCCATGCAGGGGATCCCGGGCTGAGCAGACGTGGCCCTGCCTCGGGCGACATTTTATAGCAACCTGGATGGGGCAGTGACGTGGTCACACCTCCATGCTCCCCTGGGGGACCAGTAGCAAGTGGGTAAAAGAGGGGCCCCTCTGCCTGGATTAGGCACTTCTCCTGCACAGGATGCCGGCAAGAGGCAAAACGCCAGAGGGCCCCGGGTCCCTGGTTCCCTGACAGGGGAGCTCCCTGGTTCACTCTTGTGTCCGGGGCCTGGGGAGAGCTGGGAAGGAGACCCGCATGCCCAGCTTCTTATAGGTGATAGTTCCTCAGCTCTTCCTCCTCCCCGGCTTGCCGCTCTTGGGGTTGGCCTGGCCCGGTGTCTGCCTTCCGGCCCATGACTTTTCTCCTGGTGGGACCAGCCACCCCAGGAAGTTTCTGGGACGAGAGGGAAGATGCTCACAGGCAGGACTGCTTTCTCTGCTCACCTTTCGGATCAGCAGGCACTCCCC